ACAAAGACAATGGCGGTGCTCGTAGAGGTGGGGCCAACAACTTCCCTCTCCGCGGCGGGAAAAGTACACTGTGGGAGGGAGGTATCCACGGCGTGGCTTTTGTCACCGGCGGGAGGGTTCCGGCGAAAGGAACAGTTAACCGAGAGCTAATCCACGTCACTGATTGGTTCCCCACGCTGGTGGGCCTGGCACAGGGCTCCCTCAACGGAACGAAGCCTTTGGACGGAGTTGACCAGTGGGACACCATCAGGTATGAAGTACAAACAGTCAACCACACTTTCAATAGCTTTTGATTATCGCTTTTTTGTTTGTTTCTTTATTTGTTTGTTTGTTTGTTTGTTTGTTTGTTTATCTGTTTGCCTTTGCAGACTTTGTGATTAGAACAAGGGTCTGTTTTGATCGTGTTTTTAAATTAATGGGGTTTTCCTGCCCCCCCCCCCCTTTTTTTTTACATCGAAATGAAGGAACGATAGGGTGAAAGGATTGGACAAATTATACATCATTTGGCTGGTAAAACAAGCCATCATATTATATTCCTTCCACAGTAATGGGACTCCCAGCAAACGCACAGTCTTACTTCACAACATCGACCCCATGTCTAGTAACCACGGCGTCCCTCTGTACAACGACACTTTCGACACCAGCGTGAGGGCGGCCATAAGGGTGGGCCACATGAAGCTCATCACTGGAGCCCCGGGCAACGGAAGCTGGGTACCGCCCCCTGGACAAACGCAAGCGGTCCCTTCTGGTAGGAACCTTGGATTCCCTGCAACAACCCTTCTACTCCCTCCCCCTCTTCCCCCCACCTTCCTCCCTCTCCTTCCCCCCAATCCCACCCTCCTCCTCCTCCCCCCAACTGCTCAGCCGTGTGAGTTCGAGTGTGTCTCTTCTTGGTGAATTCTTGATGCTCATTCACTGTCACTTTTTCTGCTAATGTCTTTGAATGCGAATGTAATTTTCCGAAGTTGTGATTTAGTTTTCCCTTGTCTGTTTTATCAAAATTTCGTCTCTTTGTCTTTGGGATCGTAACTTCCCCTACAAATGTAATGTCTAAGCGCGACCCACAATTGGTTGGGTGGAAATAATAAATAGATCCACTACATTTAGTCAGTGCAAATTCCTCGGTATGAAATAGCTGGTGCAAATTCCACGGTGTGAAATGGTTGGTGCAAATTCCACGGTGTGAAATGGTTGGTGCAAATTCCACGGTGTGAAATGATTGGTATAAATTCATGGTGGGAAATGATTGATTCAAATTCCACGGTACGAAATGGTTGGTGTAAATTCCACCGTAAGAAATGGTTGATGCAAATTCAACGGTATGAAATGATGGTTCACGTATGTTCTAGCTTCGCCCGGGTACGTCTAGTAGAGGTCTCCATTTGGATCTTACCTGACCCACCCTGCACATAGTGGGGTCTCCGCTCTCCACGGGGCCCACATGAGTGCAGCATGACGTCATACACAAATACAATTTCCACTTCATATAAAAAAAAGATAGGGCCTACCCCCAAATAGACCTTTGCTCTACGTCATAGCCCCACGAGCCGCCCCTGAAATAAACCTTTAAATTGCCTACGTCATAGCCCCACGAGCCACCCCTGAAATAAACCTTTAAATTGCCTTACGTCATAGCCCCATGAGCCGCCCCTGAAATAAACCTTTAAATTGCCCTACGTCATAGCACGCCCACATGTTGTAAGTTTCCCTTGTGTATTGTTGTTTCTGCAGAGCCTAACACATCCCCTGACAAGAACGTGTGGTTGTTCAACATCACAGCTGACCCGACCGAGCACCACGACTTGTCTGACCAGATGCCGGGCACGGTCCGGACCCTCCTGGGATATCTACAACGGTTTGACCAGACAGCTGTCCCTATTCTGTTCCCGGCCTTAGACAAGAACAGTAACCCAGCTTTGCACGGGGGAGTTTGGGGGCCGTGGCAGTAGTTCCCCTTGACAATTCCCTGTTTTGCTTTCTTGATTGGTTGTTGTCTTTGCTCTGGACAAAGGTTGATTTGCTACAAATGCTTTTTGGCTCTAGATCTACACGTCAGCGTGCCTTGCTCGAAAGTGGGTGTTTCAATACAGTCTGTGTGTATCTTGTCCAAAACCATAGTGCCGTTGCTACATTTTTGTGTGTGCAGAGTCAGCCAATAAACACTGTTATACCAGTTCCTGGAGTGCTTCTTTGTATTGTTGTTGTTGTTGTTGTTGTTGTTATTGCTGTTGTTGTTATTGCTGTAGCTGTTATTGTTGTTGCTGCTGCTACTGTTGTTGTTGTTGTTGTTGTTGTTTTTGTTGTTGTTGTTTTTGTTGTTGTTGTTGTTGTTGTTGTGTTTTTAAAGAATACAATTGTTTACTATTGTTGATTTTTCTGTTACCCCAGTGTGTGTTTTTTTTGTGGGTATCGTTGTGTGTGTTTATTGTGTGAAATGTCAATCAACTTAAAGGCTATTCAAGTATTTTGCTTTTGGTGAAACAATATCTTTTTATCTTGAAAAGAAGTCAAGATATTTGCGATGAAATGAGGTGGGGGTCACCTGGTGTCAGGGGTAAGGTTGGCGAGGAAATAGCCGCCAGTGATTGGTGACTTCCAAACCATTGAGATTATAATTTGGAAACTGCAAGTTTACATTTATTTTTTCTCACTTTTATGAACGTTTTTCAGAAAAATCCACACAGAAACTTTACATTTGATAGTTTGATAAGCTAAAAAAATTGATAAAAAATTGACCAAGGATGGAAAAATGCATGTCTTTTTCTTCAGTTTCATTATTTTGACGAGCGCTAGATTTCATCCTGATACTCTTCTGTCTCTACTCAGGTCATGATGGCGAAATTGGTGCCTCAGAGCCGTTAACTGAATTAGTAGACATTGTCAGTGTAATTTTCCTGCAGAAAAAGTAATGAAAGATACAAAACTAGTAAGCGTTCCAATTCGATAATAACCCGATATTTAATCCATGGTATTCAGACTGTAGCTTGGCTCACTGTTGTGCGTCCTCTGCCTCGTTTCTCCAGCCCACCACACAGATGCTGAATTGAAATGGAAGCGGTGTCTTTTTCTCTTCCAAACAAACAAACAAACAAACAAACAAACAAAGCAAAAAGAAAAAAAAGAACTAACAAGACCTGGTGGATCTATGACTAAAACCCGAACAAAAATTAAAGATCGTTATGTTCATTGGCAATCTTTTTAATGCACACCAATATGAGAAATAGCACGAAATAATCCTGTTAACATGCCATAATAACATTAAAGAATCATTTATCTAAGGGATAAATAGTCGCTTTTGCACAAGGGGGCTATCCCGAAAATCGAAGGTAAAGTTTTTGCTCCTTATAATATAATTAAGCGTGAGTACTGTTGGCGTTGTCAACGAATGTTTTCTACAGAATAATCAAAGCTAAATATTTTCAATGTCATTTTGGCTGTAGTATCAAGTCGTTCTTTTACTTAAGTTTTCTACTAAGGGGGCTCTCGTGGCCATGAGGTTAAAGTGTTCGACTCCCATTCAAAGGTCCTGGGTTCGAATCCGGGCAGCGACGGAAAATTTTGATTCTCTAAAATTGTCTCCTTTCACCTTCCTTCCTTCTCTCTTGCAATATTCTGTCGTCTGCTTTCGTCTCCACTCTCCCCCCCCAACTGGGCTCCTGACTCTTTCTGCAGCCTTTCTACTGCTACTCCTTGGCTCCTTTTTTACGGCTGTCTTTCAGTCACATCCTTGATCTTTTGGTAGGAAAGATCTACACCTAGCCTTCTCGGACAAGGGCGGAATATCTCGGAGGTCCCGTGTGCAAGTTACGCACGTTAAAGATCCCTTGGTGGTTCAAAATCAATAAGAGTAGGCTTCGGCCGCCACCCGAGCAAAATTCAAGATTTCCTACGAATTGAAAATGTTTAGTGTGTCCCGCGCGCTCATATGACCTTACGCAGTTGCAAGCGCTGTAAAACACTTACCAAAAACAAAAAAAGGTTTTCTACAACAGAAGGCAGAATCTAGTTTGACTGATCAATGCCAAACATCTGGCAGAACGTATTCCTGTATGACGGATTCAGCTTGAGATAGATAAACATAGTGCTCGAGCTGTTGATTACGTGAAACACTAACGATACTATCATTATAACCACGAAAAACTTTTCGTAAAGGCGGCCATAATTGATATCCGTCTCGATTCGTAAGGCAACGACTATCATAAGTCGCGACATGTTGCACAAAATACAGATGGTCGCTAGTATGGACACCATTTTCACAACGCGACGGTTTTTGACCGTTAGGTTATTATTAGAACGTCTCCCAGCGTCCATCTTGTTGGTTTCTTTGTCGTCAAGAGGGGAGCCATGTTGTGAGGAAGTTGTCTGTCCATATCTCTCATTACAGCTCGGTGCGTCTTCACCTTTTTCACCATCAGCCCACATTTCCTTTGTGGCTTTGCAACGTTTTGGATCTTCTGACGGTTTGGTGGTTCCCTGGCGCTGAAATCGAGATGACTTTTGAAGGCTAAACACCATGACCTGCGTGCTGACCGTTACTATGACCAGTGAAGTGCTGCCCAGAATGAGATGGTTCCAGAGGTTGAGGAAAGTGGTGATGGCTGGCATGTCCTCTGAGAGCCACAGAAGTAGACGGGTCGTGTTTGTGGAGACGTCCCACTGGGGGCGGATGCCGGATGTGACGAAGTGAGGCAGGTAACAGCCGAACGTCAGCGTGCAGATGATCACAACTGTCGCCACTGCTCGTTTGAACGTGAACATATATTTGAACCGAAAGGGCATAGCGACGCAGAGGCAACGTTCTAGCGAGATGAAGGCGGTGATGTAAGTTGACATGTCGTAGGTCACTGACGAGAGGTAAGCCAACGGGTACGTCACAGCTTCGGGGTCTAGATAGAAGTAAGCCTGGCTTGCGAGAAGGATTTGACACACACCGATAATGAGGGAGAAAAACAAAGATAGCAAGTCAGTAATGGCGAGCGACAGGAGGCAAACGGAGACGCAATCTTTGGCGCCAAGTGTCGCAAAAACAGCGATGTTTATGCAGTTAAATATCGAGCCTACGAGACACATTCCAAAGGATAACACTATGGACACATTCCCAAAAATTTCAAAGGTTTCATCGTCAATGAGTCCCTGAAAGAGATGAGTGGGAGGTTCTGTTATCTCCCCTTCCGTTGTGTTGATGGAGGTCACCATCTCGTTGTGGGGCATCCTGGGTACTCTGATAGAAGTATCTAATGATCTTTTGGTTCGGATTATATTAAAAAACACAAATAAATAACAGCAACAACAACAACATAATAGTTATTGCGACTGTAACTGAAAGTAAAGAACTGTTTTCAAATCCAAAGCTATTGAGATGTCGCTCATGACCTTGTGCAGTTGCGAGCGCCGTAAAACCTCTACTAAAAATGAAAAAAAAAACTATTGAGAAAACCAGACGGCTGAGCGGTCAGAGGAAGGGGTGGCTAAGTGTCCAACATGTCGGGGTTCGCGGCCTGTGTGGGAGGTCTGTGGGTGAGTCACGACTGACGTCACGTGCTACAAAGCTCTTCCTTCCGGTCAGCGACTGCGGAGTGTGGGAGTCAGGAGTTGTCCTTCTTTGGTGTCTGTCACAATGTATTCAGGAAAGTCTTATCCTCCTTTGGTGTCTGTCACAATGTACTCTAGAACGTTATCAGTAATTATAATAATATTCTAGAAATGTGTAATTTATCCTTCTTCGTTATCAGGAATAATGTGTTCTAGGAAGTTATTTATCCTTCTCTGGTATCTGTCACTGTGTATTCTAGAAAGCCATGTATGGATTTAACGTTATTTGTTATCTGTAACATGTTATTCTAGAAAGTTATGCATGGATTTATTTTTATTCGTTATCATTAATATTGTAACACTCTAGAATGTTATGGATGAACTTATCCTTCTTTGTTATTTGCAATATATTCTAGAAAGTTATTGATGAATTTATTGTTCTTCGTTATCAAAAATATAATATTCTAAAAATTATGAATGAATATATCGTTGTTCGGTAGCAATAAATCTATAATGTGGAAAGTTATGCAAGGATTTGTCCTACATTTGTGCAAGATGTTTCCTGGTTGAAAAAGATACAGTCGTCTTTTTCTCTTTCCATACGCTTGTGAATATAACAATATGGTTAAAGATTGACGTGTACGTCGGGGCTAAAAAGACAGTCTTTAAACTTGTACAGGAGCCATCATCCACCACTTCAAACAGAGAAATTTGTCAGAAAAACTTCCCAGCAGACACCTACAAGTAAGAGACTTCTCAGACAAATCTCCACTAATTTCTGAGTTCTAGAATTCTTCCTTTTTAAAGCCAACAAAAGCGTAGTATGGAAACGTTCTATCGTTATAAGTAGGCTAAAGAAGAACAGATTTCTTTGTGTTCTATGGATGATCTTTTTGTAACCCCCCCCCCCCAAAAAAAAAAAAACAACAAAAAAACAAAACAAAACAACAAAACTAGCATCACGTAACGTTATTTTCATCTGATCCCAAAAGTGTCCCCGGAGTTTAGAAGTTTTGGTCATTATATTGTTTGCATTGTATTACATGACACGTGAGACTATTGATTATGCAATCACAGACTAGACTGAAGATACAGTTTAAAATATACGTGTACATAAAATTATACCGTCTTGCCGAGACACACAAGTAGCGATTAAATTGAAACAATTATAATGACTCATTCAATTACCCCAGAAAGTATGAGATCTGCACCTCCAAAATCTACCTTCACGACATAATTTTAAAGAAAATGAGTAATTTTTGTTCCAATATAGGCCTAATTGTATCTTAGAATGTGGGCCGAATTTCTCTCTTGCCAATGGTATCAGAGAGCAAACATTGAATGCAGTTGGTGCAAATTTAATGTAAAAAGTAGATCAATTAATGAGCAAATATCTGAATCTATCCTTGGATTTTGAATGATTCTTTCTGTCATTAGAAAAGTACAAAGGATTCCGTGTTGTGCTGATACCCTCTACCTCTACGCTCTTCGCCTTTGTCCATTGAGAACATTCTTTTTCTATCTTTTTTAGGGGGGGGGGGGGTATTTTTGCAAGCATAATTAGACGAAAAATTCAACTCAGTCTTCGTTTAGAAATTATACGAGTCGAGCGCAACTCTTACTTGTTAATGACACCTAATGGACGGTCC